ATAGATAGTTGGTAGTATGGACAAATCCTTACAATGTTATGGATTCTTTAAGACAGTCTGGTCAATTTTCTAGGACTGCAAGGTCTGTAATTCCAGGGGTTGCAAAGATCACCTTCAGTGATGCAATCACTGCATCAGGTGTGTGGCTGTACAGACACTTGACTTCTACCCATCTACTATAGTGGTCTACTATAGTCAAGAACACTTTACCTCTGGGCTGAGGAACGTGAAAAAAGGCAGGCACCTGTGATTGCTCTAGTAAGTGTGAATGAAGGCAGTTCCCAGAATATCTAGTACAGGCCGCCAAAAGTTGGCTCAATACAGGTAGTTCTCCTTTTAAGTGATAGTTGAGTTCTCGTGTGACCTCACGCTATAGAACATCACGCTATAGAAAATCACATTATAGGGAAATTGTTGCAGAAATTACCTGTACAGCAGAAAGGTTGTGTTCTCCAAACAGTGTCCACTATTCATCAATCATGTTACAGCCAATTTGCATTAATGAAACACGCATTATACAGAACTACGGCAATCACAAATTATTTTAATATTAGTGGAATACAATAATTTTCTGTTGATGAGTCCAGCAGGGTCATAATAGGATGGCTCTCAAAGCAACATAGGTGATGTCTACAGCACCCTGAACCCGGGGGAAGCCAGCAATGGAGGAGAGTCCTATTGGCCATGTTGCTTGACAATCATAATCAAGGGGGAAAGATATGAAAAGGTGACTCTAGCAAAAATGGCATCAGTGATATCCCAGATGCACTTATGAGTGGAGGATTAGGAGATGCTACAAGGGTCCTCCCTCAAATGATCCATTATCATAGAAATTAAGCTTTGACCTGAACAGACACTAAGATGGGATTGTGCCCATTCCTTGTGAGCACAATTCCTCACTCAGCAGCTGACAAATCTCCAATATGGTGGAGTAGAACATTCTTAATCATTGCTGACATTGTCATTCAGACTTTTGAAGACAGTTGCAGTGAAACCAATAAATTCTGGATCCCACCACTTGTGAGCACCACTTCGGTGAATCTTCACCTATTGTTTCTCCATCTGGAGACTGTACGGCAGCTGCTGGAGGTTTCTATTTTTGCTGAAGCTCTTGTAGCTGTGCTCTCTCCTTCTACAGTTTGCTTTGTGTAACAGCAAAGCTACTAGGAAACCAGGCAAAGCCTTGAACATTTCAATTCCGCTGGAAGATAATCTGTGGGCAAGTCAAGAGATCACACAGTGTTAGTAAAGACGCATATGAGTCCCCACACCTTTAGCAATCAAGCTGAATATTTTTTCCAGCATGGAGGCTTCCCATGGAGGTAATTGTCATGCTCAAAAAGGACCTCTGAGATATGTGGCTTCATCCAATTGCACATAGGCAAAATATCTATGCTCCACTGATAGTATACTTCTGCCAGTAATCCACCATGAAATACCCTCCACCTTCAAAGAAAACCTCCAATCAACATCCTGCCCCTGCCCTTACATACTTACTTTTCAGTGTGAAAATATGGCAGCTGCAAAGTGTTATCTTTCAATAATTGCTAACAAATTGCAGCCAGATGGGAACTTCAGCTCTTGGCTTTTAAGTGTCTTGTTAGAATCAGACTTGCTGAGACTACGTGACAAAGAGGTGATCAGTGTGCACAATGCAATTCTCATGATTGACTGAGGCCATAAACTGTAATCTGTAATAACAAGGTGTAGAGCTGGATGAACATAGCAGGCCAAGCAGCAGCAGAGGAGCAGGAAAGCTGACGTTTCGGGTATCTCTGAAACAACTGTAATCTGTATTCTTTAACAATCCCTGGCCTTCAAATGAAATGAAAACTGAAGGCAGCTGGGTGGCATTGCTGATTCAGTGTATATATGAATGCTGCCATATTACCCCTTACAGAGCCTGAAAATCAATGTTTGTTACTCCACTCCAACAGAACAAGAAATAACAACTTATCCTCCCACTTTTTACAGTATTGTAGCCATTTTATGAAGTTATTGCACAGCTGACTTCAAACTGACCTGGTGAGTTTCCAAGTTTGTGTTAGTGTCAGAAAATTGCAGGCTCTGCCTATAATGTGTCAATTTTTTCTCATTCCTTCTGTTCCTTTTTATGTTGTGTCCTTGTGGCCCTGATGATGCTTCAAATTCTTCTTATTTCAGTTGAGCCCCTTTACATCACTATTAATGTACTCACCTTATTCCCAAAACCCAAGTTCCTCAGCCCTTGATGGCCCTATTCCCTCCACATGTAAAGTCCACCCTCATGCAAGAATGCAATCCCTTATTCCCAATTCATCTGCCTATGCCGCATCTGCTCCCAATTTGGATCATTCTTCTCCTGGATATCCCAGACGTCCTCTTATTTCAAGGATTGCAACATCGCCCCTCCGGTGATCAAAAGTGCCCTCAACTGCATCTCTTGCAATTCCCACACTCTTCCCCCAAACCCTGTCCCCCCAACAAACGTAAAGACAGAGTCCCCCTGGTCCTCACATACCACCCCATCCAGCATATCATCATCTACCACTTCCACCCCTGCAATCCGACCCCACCAGCAAATAGATATTTCCCTCCCCACCACTATCTGCCTTTTGTAGGGACCACTCACTCCTTGACTCCCTTGTCCACTCCACAATCCCCATTAATTCCACCACACCCGGCACTTTACCCTGCAACCACTGAAGGTGCTACACCTGCTCCTACACCTCCACTCTCACCTCCATTCAAGGCCCAAAACAAACTTTCCATACCTGACAGGGTTCCACCCGTACATCCTCCAATCTGGTCTACTAACTGTTGTTTCCGATGTGGCCTCCTCTACATCGGTGAAACCAAGCACAGACTCGGGGGCCAATTCTTGGAGCATCTGCACTCCGTGCGCTATTATCAACAACACCTTCCAGTCAGCAACCATTTTAACTCCTC